CTTTTCAAATATGTACTGTGTCCCATCTGTCTCTATTGAACCCCAAAAGTTACCAAACCTTTTATCGGTTTTCTATTTTTTCTTAAAAACCATGGAGTATAACTAACCAAATACCATCAGTTTAACATGTATTGCGTTTTAAAGTCGAAAGTGTTCCAAATATTTCTATTGGATTTAATGCTAAACTAATTTAGTGTTTTTAAATTTTAGAAAAAGAGATGTGTCGTCGAACAATATATAAATTGAAACTGTGAGTTTTATCTTTGTGTTTATATCGAAAACCTTTGAATTGAGATCTTGTCTGACTCTGCAGGCCAGGGTTTCGACAACTTAAACAACAATTCTGTAAGGTTTCTGTGGAACCTAGAAAGTATCAGTTTTGCCGTTGGTGTAAAAGTGTATTATTCCATACAGGTTTGACAAAGTTATTGGTGTCTAAAAAAAAATTTAACCTCAGGCCTGAGCCTAAGAGTTAACTCCGCCGAAGACGGCAAAGATGCCGGAAAGTAGGATTGCTATGTATCGCTTTCGTGATATTTTGCAGGCTCGATAAAAATGAGAGTACTTATAGGGCATTTCTGTGTTATCGAAATACCGAGATAATACAATTAATTATCTAATTACTAACACAATTTTATATTAATTAGTATTGTAATTTTCATTGTAAGTAAATACATGTAATATCAGTATTACAAACCTAATCTTGAACTCTATCCTATTTTTTGGAGTTTTTTTTAGAAATTTACCTGTGACGTCACTTTTGTGCGTCGATCTATTCGGCTGACATACAATGCGTTGTTCGGCTGTGCTGTTTTATGTGCTGATCTAGGTTGTTTTACGTATTCGTTTTTATTCTGTAGTTAGTCACCACTTCGGTGTTAACATGAATATCAATTATATGGTCGTTTTTATATTTTATAAATTAACTGTTTGCAAAAATATGAATTATTCTAAATACTAAATATTTTCTTATCCCAGGCAGATAACCTAACCGTATTTGGCACAACTGTTTGGAATTTTGGGTCATCAATGCTCTTCATCTTTAGGCCTTGCACCTTTGATAACTATTAGCTTGTCGTAATGTTCTATTGTATTGTTTATTTGTGTGTTTCTCTGTCCTGTATGTTTTTCCATTTATTTGTATTGTAGTTCTGTCAGGTAATGTTGTCATTTTAGTGTTATATCTAACAGTTCCATTAAAGCGGGAGGTTTGGCTAGCCACAAAACCAGGTTCAACCCACCATTTTTTCTTAAAATGTCCTGTACCAAGTCAAGAAAACTGTTATTGTTATCTTATAGCTCGTTTCTGTGTGTGTTGCATTTTAGTGTTTCTGTTGTGTCTTTGTTCTCCTCTTATATTTAATGTGTTTCCCTCAGTTTTAGTTTGTAACCCGGATTTGTTTTTTCTCAATCGATTTATGAATTTCGAACAGCGGTATACTACTGTTGCCTTTGTTTGTCTGCTTGTCTTTTTTATCGTTTAGTTTCGTTGGTTTTTGTCCGGCTGTGTGTATTTTTAAACTTGATTGTTGAAATACAACGCCAAAGAGAAAAGAACTCACAGTAGATATCAGTTTTAAAAAATCACATTAATAGACGACAAAAACACACTTTCAAGTAGAACAAAAATAAATACTTTAAAATTACAAAATAGATAAATTACAAACCGTGCAACCTTTTAATCTATATTAGTATCTGTAAATTCCAAATATTGCTATAGTACTTAGAAAACTGATAAAAATATCTGCCGAATATAGATACACTAGAGGGCAACAGAAGTATAATGTTACAATCAATAGGCACATATAAATCAAAGTAAAAATTTACCATGAGGTTCTCGTATCAACCCAAAAGGAGTAAGACTGGGTGTGTCGGCAGGGTAACGAGGAAGCCCGGGTGTTTCGACAGGGTAACGAGGAAGCCCGGGTGTGTCGACAGGGTAAGGATCTGTTATGCATGCATCGGCCGCACAGGTGAACACACTTAGTCAAAAAGTCATAATCGGGAAAAGGTAACAATCGGTTAATGTACAGATCAGACGACTATTCTGGTATATAACGATCATCTACGACCTCGAAAAAATGTCGGAATCGAGTTGAGACACAGCCATATTGTATCCGTCAAACAATTTTTGGTGACCGTAAAAATTTAGTTTGATCGAATATAATCGTTCTTTCACGTAACGCTTTCTGGACATTTATTTTGTTAATGCAGTTTTTTTTGTCGGGAGCACACTCCTGTTAAAGAACCTGGTATAACGTGAACATGCTCGAGAGTAATGCATTTATTGAGATATGTAAACGCATTACAATAGGGCACAGGTATAGTACTGCTGAAAAATGTGAATTTTGCAATTGCAAGGTTGAAATCATCACGTGTGTCATAGATTCTATTTTCAAGTCGTCCATCTATATCAAAATCAAGCAAAAGATAATTGATGTCAGAATCATTGTATTTACAACCGAATCCTCTTTAAGTCAGGACTAATGCTTGATCAACTTTTCCTTGTAACGAAAACACGACAAGTGCCATAATATGCTATCAGATTACTTTAGTTCACTCCTGGTTTTAGTGGGGTTCATATATAAACTCATCATAGATATAAGAACTCGGATGACAAATGTCTTTTTTGTGTGTTTCTGTAGGTATAGACTTATGCCGGATTACAGATTTCCAAGTCAGTTGGAAGAGTGCTTAAAAGCCACAGAATATGTATTCAGAAACGCTGGAAAATACCTAATTGATCCCTCTAGAATAAGCATAGGAGGTAATAACATTATGAAATATATATTTCAAAAAAGTTTCATTACACTTACACAAACTGCATTCATGTACACAATCCTAGATTGTAACCCGTTTAACTACTTCAGAATAGTACAACTATCGACAAACAGCAGGTTAGATGCATGACTGCATGATTTTATACAGTACGTGAGCATAATTAATTCTGAGCACAACTAAAACATATCCCCTTTAAAATGTATCGAAATAAAGATAAACCATCACCAAGACACTAACCATGATATACGGTATTACAATCTAAACTTAAACACACAAGGAAATGCAGCATCAGACAAATGAAAGATATATTGTATATAGCCTATTTGGCTGAGGGGTTTTAGGAGCTAGACAGGTGGTGTTGTCGCATCAGATTCACGAAAGTTGTACTGCATATAATATATTTGGCGATCACTAACTAGTAAACCAATTTTATTTTAAACGGTCATTATTGATCTTAACAGCTCTTAAACGACTGGACAAAAAATTATTAAGAAATTTTCAATCTTTCATCCAATTTGCAGACTTAATCACTGCTGTAAATTTAGTACTTTCAGACGATTCCCTAGCAGTCAATTAAGATCTGCTCAGACTATGGTCAGCCTGCTCAGTAGTTGATATTTGCCTGTACACAACAACATCATACTGAATTGTCTGAAAAGCTACTGAACAGTACCGGATTGACTGAAAGCGAATTGTCTGAACAGTACTGAACTTACCGCAGTAGATAAGTCTGAAAATTAACTGAAATACTTAACATGACTAAATAGTTTATTGTTCAGACTTTTCAGATGATGTTAAGACCAAAATGTCCGTTTCAGACAAACATTCATTTACTAGTGGATGTTGTCGCCTCAGACTTACTAAAGCTGTACTGTGTATAGCCTATTTGGACGAGTAGTTAAAGGAGCTAGACAGACAATGTTGTTGCATCAGACTAACGATGTTGTATTGTTTATAGCCTTTTTGGCCAAGTAGTTTTAGGAGCTGGACAGGCGATTTTGTCGCATCAGACTAACGATGCTGTACTGTATATAGCCTTTTTGACCGAGTGGTTTAGGAGCTGGACAGGCGGTGTTGTCGCATCAGACTAACAAAAGCTTATATTGTACTTAGCCTATTTGGCGGAGTGGTTTAAGGAGCTAGACAGGCGGTGTTGTCGCATCAGACTAACTAAAGCTGTATTGTACTTAGCCTATTTGGCGGAGTGGTTTAAGGAGCTTGTCAGGCAGTGTCGCACCAGACTAACCAAAGCTATATTCTATTTGGCAGTTCGGTTCAAGGAGCTTGACAGATGGTGTCTTTACATCAAACTTACGAAAGCTGTATTGTATATAGCATATTTGGCCTAGTGGTTTAGTTAGTTGGGCAAGCGGTGTTTAATGCGCCAGACTTACGAAAGTTATATTGTATATAGCCTATTTTTCCGAGTAGTTTAAGGTGCAGGAAAAGCGGTGTTGCCGTTAATATACCAACGTCTTGAATGCCGCATGATAAAAGATACAAAAATGCTAAAATTTGTTGAGTTGAATAAAAAACAAAAAGTTTTAACTTATTTGATTTTTGCACTAAAATATTTCTACTTAAATTCCGTATATGTATTTAGTTTTACTGTGTCGCTATTGATACAGCGAGACACAATTTAGCATTGTCCACTCACGCGATTGTCTTTTAGTTTATCTTTTTTCTTAATAGCAAACATGCTTTTGTATATTGTGTTTATATACCACATTTTTTATTATAGTTATTTGGTATCTAACTGAATACATCGTATCGTCTGATACATATGCAAGTCTTTCGTATACCCCACATTTTAAAGTGATTCGGATTTGGTTGTGATAGTCGATGTGTTTATGATTTGTATCTTTGGAGAGTATTTATGTAGGTTTTAAGTTGTTTTCATTTCTACTTTTTCTGCATGAATTTCTGTTCTTCATTAGTAGACATGATTGCCCTGATGTAACTTTCCAGGGTTTTGATGGATATGATTGCTTTTAACAGTTTATTACAAAATATGTTCTTTTATAAAACACACTTTGATATTAACCATATGTTGAATTTAATATGAATTTGTTAAATATGAATAAGAAATAAATTGTTTGATTTTGATATGAACAACTCGTTGAACTATAATATATTGATTTTGATATGAACAACTTGTTGAATTTTAATATGAACAATTTGTTGAATTTAATATGATAATGGTTTGGTTTTTGTGACAGGTGATAGTGCTGGTGGAAATTTAGCAGCGGCCGTAGGTTTAAAGTTTTCTCAAGAACCAAAACCGAGTTTAGCAAAAATAAAGGTACAAGTATTATTGTATCCGGTTTTACAAGCGTTTGATTTTGATCTTCCATCCTACAGAGAGTATGCTGATGTATCTGGCGTGTCTTACTTAAACAGAGTGGATATGATTAACTATATCAATATGTATGGATTTCAAGATCAAGGAAACTTGGACGCTATTTCTAGAAACAAACACGTGTCAGAGAAAACACGACAAACATACAGAAGTTTAGTTGACCCGGGTTTACTTCCTGAAGATCTACAGAAAAGAGGTGGAGCTAACCCAAAACAATCAGAACCAAATACAACGTTATCGGACGCAGTTCATGACAATGTAATTAATCCATATGCATGGCCTCTAATGGCTACAGACGATGCGTTACTTAAATTACCAAAGACATATGTGGTAGTAACAGAGTATGACCCGTTAAGAGATGAAGGTTGCAGAACGACTAAGAAGACTTGTTCCGGAAAACATTGAACTAAGTTACTTAGCTGGATTAGAGCATGGTATTTTCAGTTTATATAATTACAAAAGTCAACCTTCGACTATGGACACATTAGTTGATTATCTTAATCGAAATCTGTAAAACAACAGTCTATAAACCTTAACCATATGTAACAAATGTAGGATTAACTGAATGTTAAACAACAGTCTATAAACCTTAACCATATGTAACAAATGTTGGATTAACTGAATGTTAAACAACAGTCTATAAACCTTAACCATATGTAACAAATGTTGGATTAACTGAATGTTAAACAACAGTCTATAAATCTTAACCATATGTAACAAATGTTGGATTGATTGAATGTTAAACGACTATCGATCTGACTGTGGCAATTTCATCATGTTACATTCTTTTTTTTACTTTATAATAAATATTTTATATCTTTGAAAGAAGGTATTCTTGTTCTCACTTTTTATATATCTGCAATAACGATTTTCTTATTTCATTTTAAAACTTGAAATGCTGTAAGACTTTGTTTACAGTATAAAACGTTTATAACATACTTTTCGCAGATTTCGATAATTTTAGAAATTATTAAGAGACCACATGTGGAACAGGATCTGCTTACCCTTCCGGAGCACCTGAGATCACCCCCAGTTTTTGGTGGGGTTCGTGTTGCTTAGTCTTTAATTTTCTATGTTGTGTCATCTGTACTATTATTTGTCTGTTTTGTCTTTTTATTTTTGGCCATGGCGTTGTCAGTTTGTTTTCGATCTATGAGTTTGACTGTCCCTCTGGTACCTTTCGTCCCTCTTTTATATGGATTTGACTGTTCTTTTTATGTGTTCTTTTTGGTCATATAGCTGATCATGTTGTCACATATATATTTTAAAACTTTGGTTTTCAAATTTTTGGTTTGAGAGTTCCTGAATATAAGTCAAGAAACGAACTTCGAACGCACTAAATTTATAAAGTGTTCTTTTCATATAATATAGTTTAATATTTATAATTTAAGTATGCAGGAATATAAGTTGTCACCCGATCATTCCTTGGAAATGTGTTTTTATTTGGAGATTGCTGATTTCTATTCCAGCTATTGTTCTTTAAAGTACTTCCATTCGTTTGATGTGTTTGTGCTTTTGATTTTGCCATTTGATTAGGGACTTTCCGTTTTGAATTTTCCTCGGAGTTCAGTATTTTTGTGATTTAACTTTTTTTTTATACTGCAATTTGCTTTAGAACATTTATTGGTTGTTTTCTTTATCCAAATCATTCATTTCATTTCGGTGCCTATGTTTAATCTTTTGTTAGGTAAAAATGAATTGGTAAAGTCACCAATTCCTGCCCTTTGTTTTCTTTGCTCAATGCTACGTCTTGTTCCCAGTACAAAACAGTAAACCATTGACAGCAACGATCAAATTGATCGAACATTGCCAAAATGGATTGAAGAAAGTTAATCATTAACCAATGAATATTTTGAAAGAATTTTGCGATGCCCTTCTTTTATTATAGAAACTCATATTGAAGGAGAAATTAAACAATCATCTATATTTAGATTTATGCAGAAATTAAACAACCATGATGTTTAGATTTATGTAGAAATTAAACAATCATCTATATTTAGATTTATGTAGAAATTAAACAATGATCTATATTTAGATTTATGTAGAAATTAAACAATCATCTATATTTAGATTTATGTAGAAATTAAACAATCATCTATATTTAGCTTTATGTAATACCAATTGCACCAATAACAATATTAATAATCGTAACAAAAACCATTACCACAATAGAAACGTTCAATAATCGGTTTTTCCACAAGTCAAAATGTTTGTGTCTCTTTGTTCCTTTGAAAAAATTAGCTATAACTAATAATAATGTATTTAAAATCTGCAATAACACTGACAAAGCTATAAAAGCTAACACCGCTCGCTTGAAATGATCTGTTGCTCCTTCTGTTATTACCGCTTTCAGTTGTGTAATGTTTGCAATCAGTATGGTAGCACTTAGAAGACATGAAACAATTAATGCTTTTATATCTAGCTTTTCTTTAGGTGGTTCCTCCTGTAAATGATAAATATAGACACTTAAAAAAATAGTGAATGTGATAATTTTTCGTTGGAGTTCCTGTCAATATAACACTTCCATGGTTTAACTTATGTAAATCTATTTAGACTGGGGGCAATTTAGATATTGGCATATTCCACAGACGGCTATCTAATTTTCAAAGTCTGTAACTTCACCCTCAATGTGTCTCATGGTTATTTGTGTCGTTGGGTTGCTGTCTACTCGATGCACACCCCACAACTCCTCTTATTAATATAATTCTATAAACCTATCAAAATAAGACCTATTTGTGATAATCACAGGGGACATGGGGTCATATTACCTATCGGTATTTAAATCCCGTGAGCCTTTTGTTCACAGAGGATATTGGTTCCCCTGTGAAGGTGACCAATCAAATTGCATTTATAGTCTCAATTTCCATTCTTCTATATAATATGTCATATGTGTCATAGTTTTCAATATGTTTTGCTATTTTTCTGTTACTTATCATCATTAAATAACAGGAAAATTAATAAATTATCAAGCTCTATCTTCATGGTATAAATGTTACAAAAACAAAAAAAATAGTGTATTTTCAAGAATTATTTACATATATAAATGTTCCTGTTTAAACCTGATCAACACACTTGCCTTTGGATATAAAAATATCACAGGTTTAATTTCTAAAAGTTCAAAAAATTGTTTAAGTTTCTGCGATGTATTTATTGGATCTGGTATTGGCTCAGGCTCTGCATTTTCTTTTGGTCTGTAACACAAAGTAAACTTTTTATCTTTTAAAATTGGAAAATTAAGACGAAGATTGTCTTCTGTCTCTTTTGCGTCCCATTCAAGCTGCAAATCAAACTCGTCTGTTTTTTCTTCTTTTGAACAAGTTTCATCATCTTTGGAATCTTTATTTTCTTGGCCTATATATGAAATGAAATAACGTGTATTGTTATATTAAAAAAAATAAATAGTTAGACAGTCATAAACAAAAAATGATGAGTAAAAGAAAGATATAAAAAAAAACATTTGCTTAGACAACGTATTTTTTTTTATACTTATTTAGTTAGATTTTTTATTAGACCATAACAATTTCCTATGAGTAAAAATACATCAGTTGGTGTCACTGCAAATGTGCCCTTATAATCTATAAAAATACGAAGATGTGGTATGATTGCCAATGAGACAATTATCCACCAAAGTATTTTAGAATTTTAACCCCAATTTCACGGTCCACTGAACATAGAAAATGATAGTGTGAGTGGGCAGGTAAATTCTCATATTTGATTTATAACATACTAAAACGTATATCAGAATTACAAAAAATCTCAAATAAACAATTAACAATGCATGGACGCAATAACGTGTATCAGCATTTCGTGTGTATTTTTTTCTAGACGTCATCTAATGAACCATCAAGATGACCTCCGAAGACTGCCGACGGTCATATAACCCGATATAAACATAAATATAAATATTAAAATTTATATCGGTATGTTTGATTACAAATTGTAGGTCAAAAAGTATGTTTATCATCGTTTTCACCTGTATAAGAATGATATTTTGTGGATCGAATAAGTCAACCAAATAGTTCATCCTTGTTTCATTTCAATTTTCCTTTTAATAGCTGAATACATGCGTAACCCATCTCCAGCTAATGGTTTAAATTGAAGGTCACATGAATAAGGATTCAATGAGGTCGAATTATTCACTTGCAAGTGAATAATTCGTCAGCGATATTTCTTATCTTATTTTGACAAAACAGAACCAAACTAGCTGCTAAAAGCGAATTATTATTTCACTATATCACTTTCATAAATGATTGAACAAACAAAAAAATCATATTTTATTTTTTCTATATCTCGTAGCTAATGCCCCTTTAAAGGGCTTCATGTTTTGTTTTTTGTTGTTGTTGTATTCGCGCTACTAAGTATTTTATTCTAAACTGTGTTGTTTCTATCAATAATGATCATGTCAATGTAAAGAAAAAAATATTATTTTCCTTTCATGCAAACTTTTATATTTGATCATGTATTGAAGTTAGATAGTCATCATGTTCACCGATGGTTTATAAATTTGGGTCTCAAGGTTAGACAAAAGACATTCGCCAATCCGATTTTGTGTCAAGCCTGATCGCTGGATAAGTTTCATCAACGCATTTTAACAAGAGTGAAACGACGAATATTACAAGTAGAGGAGGAAGTGCTGGCCTTTCAGTGGCCCGAGTTCATCCCCGTATCATGTATGTGTACAATACAGCCCTGATATACAGTAGGCAAAACTAAATCAGTTCTAAGTTCAGTGCATATAATAGTATGGATGATAGAGCAAATATTACAATATTTTTATCTAAATATTTCTTAAACAATTCAGGTGTACACAGAGCGACAAAGGAGTGGAAAAATGAATGGTGATTAACAATTTTTGGTTGATTTAAAAGAATTTTACGCTGTTATATATTCTTAGGTTATTTTATTGTGTGTTTGGCACGACTATTTGCTTATTTCCACAAGCTGGTTGATCTATTCATCGTTGAAAACAATATAGAAACTTTTGTTTGAAAACTTATTATAGTTGGTTGCTGTCCCATTGACGTTATTTACCCAAAGTCGTGTAGTTTATATATATTCTTCTTGCAACTCTGACTAACAAAGCAAGTGCAAACTGAAAGTTAATATACCTTGGCATGCAACCTTTGCAGTGAACTTTTTCATCGTTTTAATGTCTGTAAGCTATCATTTCAGCGGTCTTTCGCAGCTAAACAATTCGTACACTGTAATACTGTGCAGTAAAGAATAGAACAATTTATATATTTTGAAGATTCTTTCATAGCATATAAGAAGATGTTGATATGACCATAATTCAAAAACGAACTGCATGTTTATTCTGACGGATAAAATGTGCATTTCACCATCCAAAGAAGCGTCATACTTTACTAGTTATATCAGCAGGTTAAGCATACGTGTGTGTATGACTGTCGTATCAGAGTTTAATATTTGTGGTTTGATTCAACAGATTACATATGTGTGTATGCCTGTCGTATCAATCCGTTACGTGTGTATATGCCTGTCGTATCAGTCCGTTACGTGTGTATATAAAAATAAGGAGATGTGGTATGATTGCCAATGAGACAACTATCCACCAAAGTTCTAATGAAGTAGATGTAAGCATTTATAGGCAACCGTAAGGCCTTCAACAATGAGAAAAACCCATACCGTATGGTCGGCTATAAAAGGCCCCGACATGAAAAATATAAAACAATTCAATTGAGAAAACTAACGGCCTAATTTATAACAAAACAATTTACGAAAAGCAAATATGACAGACATAAACCAACGACCACAACTGAACTACAGGCTCCTGACTTAGGACAGGCACATAAAGAATGTGGCGGGGTTATACATGTTTGTGAGCGTACAACCCTCCCCTTAACCTGGGACGGTGGTGTAACTTGCAGTACAACGTAAGAACAAACTATAAAAATTTGTTGAAAAAGGCTTAACTCGTCAGATGGATACAAATAGAAATACATCTAACAAAAACACAAAGTGGACATGAACGGGTACTTATATATCCCTTTGTATATGCCTGGCGTATCAGATCGTTACGTGTGTGTATGACTGTCGTTTCAGTCCCCTACGTGTGTATATGCCTGTTGAATCAGTCCGTTACGTGTGTGTATGACTGTCGTATCAGTCCGTTACGTGTGTGTGTGTGTGTATGACTGTCGTATCAGTCCGTTATGTGTGTATATGCCTGTCGTATCAGTCCGTTACGTGTGTGTATGACTGTCTTATCAGTCCGTTACGTGTGTATATGCCTGTCGTATCAGTCAGTTACGTGTGTGTATGACTGTCGTATCAGTCCGTTACGTGTGTGTCTGACTGTCGTATCAGTCCGTTACGTGTGTGTCTGACTGTCGTATCAGTCCGTTAAGTGCGTGTATGACTGTCGTATCAGTCCGTTACGTGTGTGTATGTCTGTCGTATCAGTCCGTTACGTGTGTGTATGACTGTCGTATCAGTCCGTTACGTGTTAATATGACTGTCGTGTCAGTCCGTTTCGTGTGTGTCTGACTGTCGTATTAAAGGGTTTATTATTTGTGGTTTGCTTGTCGTATCAGCAGGTAAATTTATTTATTATAAAAGGGATGTTAGCTATTGTCTATGAGATAGTTACATAACGACAAAAATATACAAAAGACAAATAGAGGTCAACATATTGTCTTCACAAATCTCACAGATACTGCCGATGTCAAAACAACTTCATGATGAGACTTCACTTCAGAGACTTTTTTCTTTGACAACCAACAGATGGGACTACCTAAGCTAGCTTCCTGTAGTAGCGTGCAAATGTTGACCTTGTTTTCCAAATTAATGGTCTCTTTTTGGTCATTTAGTTCGTTACTTATATATCAGTGGAAGAAACATAAATTGGAATGTTCTCAGGGAAAACTATGAACATACGTTATTTACAACAAATTTTGATATAAATAACAGTTTTGAGTAGAGAAAATCATTTCAAATTCCGCATCTCTGCTCATAAACTATTGTTTAAACAGGGAAGGTACCTCTGAATACCAAGCCAGAACCGTAATTGTACTAAATGTTCACTAAATGAAGTAGATGACTAGATTCGTTTTTTGTTCTGTAATAAGCACATACAGAACAGGAATGACATATTTTAAAATTTGATCTCATATAACTGTATATTTTTGTTAACATTTGTGAGCGTGATTAATATATCTGTCTGATAAATTGCTCTGCCCATCTCTAATAAAATTATTGAAATCTCCGGAATGATATGTAATACTTGCAAAATGTCGTAATTGGTGTAACCATCTTGTCACAAAGACTTTCATTGTCTCTTTTTTATATGTATTTTATTTATCTTGAAATATCATTAATGTATTGTGCTTGTGAATTTATCTTGTTTTAACAATTAAAATTGTATAAATGATGCAAAGCTTCTTGCGGGCCCTTGGTTGGTAAATAAACACATCTATTCTTTCATAACTTGAAAAGTTTTGGTTTGATTTGAGCATTCTAAGTGAAGGTAAATCCAGGAGAGCGCTTCGAAGTCACCAAATGTATAAAGTGTTATTTTTTTTTTTTTTTTTTTTTTTTTTTTTTTTTTTTTAAGGGGGGCCTCGGTGGCCGAGTGGTCTAAGTAGTTACTACTGTAATCACTAGCCAGTCAACACTGAGGTTGTGAGTTCGAACCCCGCTCGTGCGGGTGCACTCGACTCCAATCTTAATTGACTAGGATTGTCAGTTTTTCTATCGAAGGTCGGTGGTTTTCTCCGGGCACTCCGGCTTCCTCCACCAATAAAAACTGGCCGCCACGAAATTGCCCAAAAGCGGTGCTTAAAAGTGGCGTTAAAACACCAAAAAATCGAATCAAATTAATTTTTTTTTTAATTCTGTATAGGTACGAAGCTACATCACAGTATTAGGAGCAAGTAACTGATCATCAAAGAAAAAAATTACATTTCCCCAAAGAATCCAACATATTAAGATGTATCTCCCACCACGAGGTCCCAGAAAGGCATATTGACATGGCTTGAAGTTAGTACTAGTATTGTAATTACACAGCTCTCGATCAGTGGAATAACAATAGGTTCATAGAGGAACGTTTAGGAAAAGATTTTTACATTATCATTTTTTGCTCACCTCGAATGCAGGAGGTAGAGTGTGCAATCCCCGGCCGAGTCATACCAAATCCTTTAAAATTAGAATTTGCTGCTTCTCCGCTAAGCAAGCGGCATCTTAGAGTAAGAACAAAGATTGGTAGGCCCGCAGTCAGAATCCAGGGTAGGCTGACATGTCTGACTGTTGACATTTATCTTTTGAACCAGCACATTAAAAATCTGATTCAGCGTGTTGATCAAAGCAAGGTTCATACTCATATGACATCAAGCTGTTACCGTTCTGAATGTCCATTAATTCGCTACTGGACGTTATACAGCCACTCATCCGTCTTATTTCTCCAACAATAATCTAACCCAAATACAAGCTTGAAATCATTGTCCCCCCCCCCCCCCCCCCCCCGTCTTATTTCTCCATCAATAATCTAACCCAAATACAAACTTGAAATCATTGTTTCCCCCTCCCGTCTTATTTCTCCAACAATAATCTAACCCAAATACAAGCTTGAAATCATTGTCCCCCCCCCCGTCTTATTTCTCCAACAATAATCTAACCCAAATACAAGCTTGAAATCATTGTTCCCCCCCCCCCCCCCCCCCCCCCGTCTTATTTCTCCAACAATAATCTAACCCAAATACAAGCTTGAAATCATTGTTGTTACATTTATTTGACTATATATATAGCTCAGTGTTGTTATAATAATCCATTGTAGCTGTTAACAAAGTATAGGGATTTATATTCAGGATGCATGATATGACAAATTCTACAACTACCCCCAATTAAGTTTATTAACCAACACGTCAATACACTATATTATAATTACATTGATCAGAGAAAATAAAAACTATCAATTCTAACTCCTTGCTTATTTTTTTTTTTACTTGTATCTAAAACATTATTAAAAGACTAACCTTATTAGCAAGAAATATCAGTAATATAAATTCTTCCTTTTTCTAAATTCAAAGGACAGTCATTATGCATGTAAATAATAATCAAAACAAATTGTTCCTAGGTAACAGACAATTGAAATGTTAAAAACCTATTCATCCTATCATCTACCTTAACTAGCTGATGCATGTATTTATAATATCAGTCAGATATAATTTATATTGATTATTTTCCTTTCTCAATGAAAAAAATTGTATGGTTTACTGCTTTTCTGTATTTCAGTGAACAGGTGACTAAAACTCGTTGATGAAAACGAATTCGATTTTAATTCTACGTAGAACTGTTGATTGGAAACAGCATAGTGACACAATTTACTCCTTGATGGAATAGTTTACCTGATATGTTTTACAAGTAAAAAACGAAGTCAATAAAAGCCTAACTAAAAGATAATTACTACTACAAATAGTAAACAGAGAGTGCAGCAGAACCAATATGATAACAGAAAATGTAGGAATAAAGAATAAAGTAGATACCTGTTGAACGCAGACTTTATCAGATAGAGACCAGTATCTTTTAATCAGGGACTTATATGAGATAGAGACCAGTATTTGTTGAACAAGTACTACTATTATATTAGATAGAGACCAGTATTTATTGAACGCGGACTTATATTAGATAGAGACCAGTGTTTGTTGAACATAGACTTATATTAGATAGAGACCAGTGTTTGTTGAACACGGACTATATTAGATAGAGAACAGTATTTGTTGAACATAGACTTATATGTTAGATAGAGACCAGTGTTTGTTGAACATAGACTTATATTAGATAGAGACCAGTGTTTGTTGAACATAGACTTATGATAGATAGAGACCAGTGTTTGTTGAACATAGACTTATATTAGATAGAGACAAGTGTTTGTTGAACATAGACTTATATTAGATAGAGACAAGTGTTTGTTGAACATAGACTTATATTAGATAGAGACCAGTATTTGTTGAACATAGACTTATATTAGATAGAGACCAGTGTTTGTTGAACACGGACTATATTAGATAGAGAACAGTATTTGTTGAACATAGACTTATATGTTAGATAGAGACCAGTGTTTGTTGAACATAGACTTATATTAGATAGAGACCAGTGTTTGTTGAACATAGACTTATGATAGATAGAGACCAGTGTTTGTTGAACATAGACTTATATTAGATAGAGACAAGTGTTTGTTGAACATAGACTTATATTAGATAGAGACCAGTGTTTGTTGAACAAGTACTACTATTATATTAGATAGAGACCAGTGTTTGTTGAACACGGACTATATTAGATAGAGAACAGTATTTGTTGAACATAGACTTATATGTTAGATAGAGACCAGTGTTTGTTGAACATAGACTTATATTAGATAGAGACCAGTGTTTGTTGAACATAGACTTATGATAGATAGAGACCAGTGTTTGTTGAACATAGACTTATATTAGATAGAGACAAGTGTTTGTTGAACATAGACTTATATTAGATAGAGACAAGTGTTTGTTGAACATAGACTTATATTAGATAGAGACCAGTATTTGTTGAACATAGACTTATATTAGATAGAGACCAGTGTTTGTTGAACACGGACTATATTAGATAGAGAACAGTATTTGTTGAACATAGACTTATATGTTAGATAGAGACCAGTGTTTGTTGAACATAGACTTATATTAGATAGAGACCAGTGTTTGTTGAACATAGACTTATGATAGATAGAGACCAGTGTTTGTTGAACATAGACTTATATTAGATAGAGACAAGTGTTTGTTAAACATATACTTATATTAGATAGAGACCAGTATTTGTTGAACATAGACTTATATTAGATAGAGACCAGTGTTTGTTGAACATAGACTTATGATAGATAGAGACCAGTGTTTGTTGAACATAGACTTATATTAGATAGAGACAAGTGTTTGTTGAACATAGACTTATATTAGATAGAGACAAGTGTTTGTTGAACATAGACTTATATTAGATAGAGACCAGTATTTGTTGAACATAGACTTATATTAGATAGAGACCAGTGTTTGTTGAACACGGACTATATTAGATAGAGAACAGTATTTGTTGAACATAGACTTATATGTTAGATAGAGACCAGTGTTTGTTGAACATAGACTTATATTAGATAGAGACCAGTGTTTGTTGAACATAGACTTATGATAGATAGAGACCAGTGTTTGTTGAACATAGACTTATATTAGATAGAGACAAGTGTTTGTTGAACATAGACTTATATTAGATAGAGACAAGTGTTTGTTGAACATATACTTATATTAGATAGAGACCAGTATTTGTTGAACATAGACTTATATTAGATAGAGACCAGTGTTTGTTGAACATAGACTTATGATAGATAGAGACCAGTGTTTGTTGAACATAGACTTATATTAGATAGAGACAAGTGTTTGTTGAACATAGACTTATATTAGATAGAGACAAGTGTTTGTTGAACATAGACTTATATTAGATAGAGACCAGTATTTGTTGAACATAGACTTATATTAGATAGAGACCAGTGTTTGTTGAACACGGACTATATTAGATAGAGAACAGTATTTGTTGAACATAGACTTATATGTTAGATAGAGACCAGTGTTTGTTGAACATAGACTTATATTAGATAGAGACCAGTGTTTGTTGAACATAGACTTATGATAGATAGAGACCAGTGTTTGTTGAACATAGACTTATATTAGATAGAGACAAGTGTTTGTTGAACATATACTTATATTAGATAGAGACCAGTATTTGTTGAACATAGACTTATATTAGATAGAGACCAGTGTTTGTTGAACATAGACTTATGATAGATAGAGACCAGTGTTTGTTGAACATAGACTTATATTAGATAGAGACAAGTGTTTGTTGAACATAGACTTATATTAGATAGAGACAAGTGTTTGTTGAACATAGACTTATATTAGATAGAGACCAGTATTTGTTGAACATAGACTTATATTAGATAGAGACCAGTGTTTGTTGAACACGGACTATATTAGATAGAGAACAGTATTTGTTGAACATAGACTTATATGTTAGATAGAGACCAGTGTTTGTTGAACATAGACTTATATTAGATAGAGACCAGTGTTTGTTGAACATAGACTTATGATAGATAGAGACCAGTGTTTGTTGAACATAGACTTATATTAGATAGAGACAAGTGTTTGTTGAACATAGACTTATATTAGATAGAGACAAGTGTTTGTTGAACATATACTTATATTAGATAGAGACCAGTATTTGTTGAACATAGACTTATATTAGATAGAGACCAGTGTTTGTTGAACATAGACTTATATTAGATAGAGACCAGTGTTTGTTGAACATAGACTTATATTAGATTGAGACCAATGTTTGTTGAACATAGACTTATATTAGATAGAGACCAGTGTTTGTTGAATATAGACTTATGTTAGGTAGAGACCAGTGTTTGTTGAACATAGACTTATATTAGATAGAGACCAGTGTTTGTTGAACATAGACTTATGATAGATAGAGACCAGTGTTTGTTGAACATAGACTTATATTAGATAGAGACAAGTGTTTGTTGAACATATACTTATATTAGATAGAGACCAGTATTTGTTGAACATAGACTTATATTAGATAGAGACCAGTGTTTTTTTAACACGGACTATATGAAATAGAGAACAGTATTTGTTGAACATAGACTTATATTAGATAGAGACCAGTGTTTGTTGAACATATACTTATATTAGATAGAGACAAATGTTTGTTGAACATAGACTCATATTAGATAGAGACCAGTGTTTGTTGAACACGGACTATATTAGATAGAGAACAGTGTTTGTTGAACACGGACTATATTAGATAGAGAACGGTATTTGTTGAACACGGACTTGCATCAGATAGAGAACAGTATTTATTGAACGCGGATTTACATGAGATAAATTCTGATTCGTAAACGATAATCAACGTGCGACGTCAGTTTTGACAATAATTCAAAGGAATAACATAGAGATAATTTCATATTTTGGTGACTATGTTGAACGCATCTATCCTATCGAACTTGAAATAAAGTAAACATTGTAGATGTTAATAGGATAGACATTACTATACCAAAAAGACATTTTTCGTCTATTTTTAAATAACTCGTATGCTGTAAATATTGTCTTAATTTTGCTGCGGATATATGGTAGTTTAATTGGCTGCGAGCATCAGCGAAGAGACATTATTTATCGAAATGCGCATCTTGTGCTTCAAAATTGGTTCCGTTAATGTTATTGTACTACTGTCTGAAGTCAATTACGATATATACGTTATATATTATATGATGGCGTTCTTCGTACGCTTTGATACGGAAGCCGGTTAGTGTCAGGGTCTTTGAGTAGCATTGTATGTTGGCTGATCGGCAACGTCATGATTTGTTTGGGCTGTTCCAATCATACTCCCATGTCGCATGCCTTTTTATAATTGAGTTACGATGCTCTTCATCTGCGTACTTTATTTGTCCTTATAACTTTTTTTATTCGAACGACATGGATGAGTCTTTTGTTGACAAAAAGCAGGTCTGGAGTACAAAATTATAAGCCTGGTATCGGAAATGTGTAAGTTGTCAAAACATGAAACATAAACAAGCGATTATACGAATTTGTTGAAAGCCCATTTGTTTAAATAAAAGTAAGATTTAATAAATTTGTTCAGTAATCACATAAGGAATTATACAAATGAAATCGGGATAGGTCTAAACATTTATAACAAATACTTGTTGGAAGCGATACACATTATGATCACATATCCAACCTCCTTCATTGGACAGTGCAATTTTGATGAAACAAACATTAATTCCTTCTTTTCCGACAGAAATACACACAATAATTACATTTCCATAATCATTTAACTTCATCCAAACGTGTTTAAGTAAGATATTGTTTGTCGTTTTTTATTTTTAAAACATGTCATTAATTCAGTTTCTTTGTATTTTAAGTCAATATTACCTTAGCTATATTTGGCAAAACTTTTAGGAATTTTTGGTCCTCAATGCTCTTCAACTTCGTAACTTTATTTGGCCTTTTTAAATTTTTTAGATTCGAGCGTCACTGATGAGTCTTTTGTAGACGAAACGCGCGTCTGGCGCAAATA